CCATTTCTCAGAACTTGTGGGAGTAAGTCCAAAAGGGAGTCGGTGTTGACACAGCGTGGGTTTATTCAAAGAGTTGTACTTTGCAATTTGCACAAGGTCTCAACCTTGGCGAATGAGTCAAATGTGCGCGGCCTTCTGGAGAGAACACTACGATAACGTACGCAATCGCAACCGATCTGTCCATCCGAGGACTCTGATGAATCCACATGCCCTGAAAACCCTGGCCCTTAGCAATCATCCCAATCCATGATGAGACAGGCACGAAAAATGCCGTCTGACCCAACTGGCATGAGTGTGGGCTTCTGCCTTCTGGCCGGAGATTCTCTGAGCAGGCTCAACCGTTTCCAACGGTCTTCCTGTTTCTCCATCTATTAGGATCATCAAGGCAAATACTGTATGGAGGCTAATTTGCACTCGACTGAAATTGTCCACTTACCCCGGCATCGTGCTTTTTTTTTTTCCCGATGTGGGTGCAACTTGTTTCTTGTATAATGCTGCCGACTGCAAACTGCAGAACTGGTCGAGTGTCCGTGATGAATTTCCCTGTGGGGACAATAAAGCACACGACATGAAATGTGACAGACTGTTGCCCTTCCACTCAATGCTGAGAAGTGACGACTTGTTTTCTGTTCATACTTTTTTCTAGATGACCCAATAAAAAAAATGCTGCCGATTCTTAAAACTCGTGTGTTTTTTTCCCCCCTTATTGCTGTCAGAAATATCACTCATTGACTCAAGATATTCTCATATTGTGGACTTGGACGGATCGAGCCTTCCGCCGGACGCAAACTCCAAATGCACACTTTGGGGAGGAAGGGGGGGTGTCGGGAACAACGTAGGTTGCTAAGTGCATCTGTCTCTTTTCAGAAATGTTGTTTGTCTGAAGTAGGCGGCAAAGGTAAAGAGGCACCGACCGGGCAGGTGTGTTGAGGTGGAGGAGCTCCGCCACGCCATTTCAAGATTTGAAAACAAATCAGAGAATCTTCAAAAGAACTCTAAAATGTATGCAGAGCCAGTGAAGGGATGCCCAAGTCGGAGTGATGTGCTCCCTCTTACGAGTACCAGTCAAGAGGCGAGCAGCAGCATTCTGGACCAACTGGAGACGCTACGTGGAGGATTGGCCGACTCCAAAGTCAAACGCATGACAGTCATCCAGCCGGGATGTGACGAAGGCATGAATGATTGTTTCAAAGTGCTCATGAGAAAGGAGAGATTTTACTTTCGCCAGCTGCCGAAGATGAAAGAAGCTGGATTTCTACCTAGCTGGATAAGCGAGCAAAAGACATTCAACACACCTAGCACAGCAAATGTGCGCGTCCAGAAAAAAAACAGCAATGTGGTTTCATTGGGAATCCACCGTCCCGTCGGCAAAAAGCATTTGGCGGTGGAGTCGAGTAAATGCTCAGCAGTTTGATTAATTTTTTTTTTTTTCCCAGGCACCCGTATGTCTGTCTTCCGGCCTCCCGCGCCGTGGGTATGAGTTAATTGGTCAGCACTCTGTCCCTCCCCTTGGCCAGAGCCCCCAATCTCACCGGTGAAGCGCTCCGGTGTTCAGTTGAGCTTTGGTCATGTCTGGAACACGAACTGTCGGACTGCTGCTGCTACTGTGGGGCGGCGCCTGCCTGCGGCTGCCCGGCGCGGCTCAGGGCGCTTTGGTCATCCCCGGGCCGGATGGAGGCGCCGAGGTAACGTTCGGACTTCTGACCGATTTGAGTAATTTTTCCACCTTGCTCAGTTCATCAGCAATGTTTTCTGATTTCTATCCTCCGTGTTTGTCCGCTGTGTTTGTTTTTGTAGGAGGCAAGACATTCTGCCAGGCTGTTGCAGGTATTTGGCAGAAATTAGTGCAGAGTGGTACATTGACTAAGTAGTTTAACCGAGCTTACAGTGAGTCGTTTGTGATTCTGCTGCATTTTTTTGGGGTGGGGGGTAAAACATTTCAAATCAACAAAAACATAGCACTGGGTTGTGTTCGAAAGACATTTGCAAACAAAGTACTGAAATAAAAGCAGGTTGACTCATTTTACGAGAAGAACATACATAGAGTGCAAAAAAAAGAGTCATTTTCAAAATCCTTCAAAATATCTCAGTCACACACATCAGAAAAAAAAAAGAATAGCTTTGAAGCTTTCCACTTGGGCCCGGCTTCACTTCTGTTGGCAGCTTATTTCATACGTGTGCAGTATCGCAGCTACATGCTGTTTCACCGTGTTCGCTTTGATCTGCGGGTACCGCTAAGTGACCCGAGAGCGCAGACATCAAGAGCCTAACTCCGAAAGTGTAACTCGGCCGAAACTGAACACGTTCAGAAGCTAAGTAGGCAAACAATCGCAAGTCTTTGTCGTTCAAAATAGTGGAAAGGAAGGCTTGCTCAAGGATGGTCAGTTTCATACGTAAAACAAGAATTTACAATGTTTGGACAAAAGTAAGTGCTTTGGCACTCCCGGGTGGCAGAAAGTGAATGACTAGCCTACCACAGACCTGAACTGAAATGATGACAAAAACATGTTGTGTTTGGGCTTGATTTGTATGTCTGTATGTACGTCTATATAGATATATATTTTCTTTCCAAAAAAAAGTCCCAATGAATCCAGTGAAATCTGTTAGTGATGAGGACAAATTGAGCGCATGTCCTCAACAGTTGTCGAGGGAAGATGGCGAGACTGCCGCCTGGTCTTGTACCGGTCGGAGCTTCAGCGGCATTTGAGCGCTTCAGAGCTTGGAAACCTTTTGCAATTCACGTGTGCACCATTGACCATTGGTTCTCAAACCGTCACATTTTTTTTTTCCTTCCAGAAAAGAAGTACGCAGCCTGTCAGGGTGAGCAAAGGATCCGCTTGGGTTCATCCGCTGTATTGTCCCGATGCGTACGGATCTCGTTGAAAGAGTATTTCTGTCCCCGATGTGATCATTTCTCCATCTCAGGCGGAGGTGCTCAGCGTGAAAGTGGACTGCGCCGTGACGTCTCGTTTCGCTCACACCGTCATGACCTCCACGGCTCTGAACAAAGCCAACGTCTCGCAGGAAATTTTCTTTGAAGTGGAGCTCCCCAAAACGGCCTTCATCACCAACTTCTCCATGTACGGCCCTTATGACGCTATCTCAGAGGAGCCGTGTCAAACCCCGCGTCGATCCGGTGGAAACCCCCCGCCTCCTTTTCAGGGGAGCCGTGGTCGACCGGGGAAATGTTTGATCGGTCGGGGTGTCGTGGCAAGCCTAAAATCGGGGTGCGGTACGGACCCTGGGTCGTCGGTCATGGTTCGGCACACGGCGCCAAACCCCCCCAAAGCCTTGCTTTCCTATTACGTGACCAGGAACGCACTTCATGTCCGTTGCGAGCCGGGGCGCTTCGGTCTGACGCTTTCTTCACCTTTCTCAGGGAAATCGATGGCCAAGTGTACGTGGGAGAGGTGAAGGAGAAAGAGACAGCCAAGAAACAGTATGAAAAGGCCGTTTCCTCAGGACAGACGGCCGGGCTGGTCAAGTAAGTCGGCGAGGGCAAACGAAAGGTTTTCCCGGATCACGTCGCCCGCGACTGATGTGGTGCTCCGACGCAGGGCTTCCGGCAGGAAGATGGAGACATTTTCGGTGTCGGTCAACATCGCGGCCGAAAGTAACGTGACTTTCGTTTTGACCCACGAGGAGCTGCTTCAGCGGAAATTGGGCCAGTATGAGATCCTGACCCGGGTGAAACCCAAACAACTTGTCCAGGAGTTTCAGGTCAGCGCATCTTCCTTGACCGATCCCCGCAACCGCTGCCGAATCAAGCGTGACAATTGCTTTACGTCTTTGAATCAGATCGTCGCAAACATCTACGAGCCTCAAGGCATCGCTTACGTCGAGACCCATGCCACGTTCCTCTCCAATGAGCTGCTCCCCCTGGTGGAAAAAACTGTCACCGAGAAGAAGGTACGTTTTGCGACCCTCAAAATCGGATTTTTCTTTTTACATCACCATACACGGTATTTGTAAGACGTCAAGCTTTCCTCGACGTAGTTTATGTGACATTGCGCTGGCTTGGCGGCTATCTGCTACATATCAGATTTGTATCCGCCTTTGACAGAGGCCCGATTCCGATCTGAAACTATCCAAGTCCACGTGTTTGTTTTTAATCACGCGGCGTAGCGCGGCCTTGGTGACGATCAATATCGCAAACTCTCAATGGGAACGAGCCTCAGAGGGACGCGTTCCTCACCGCTTGTCATTTTCGAGTTGGTTGATCTCTAGGTTTGCTCCTACTTTTAGGCACACATTGCCTTCTCGCCCAGTCTGGATCAGCAGAGAAAATGTCCAGGCTGTGATGGAACACTGATCGATGGAGATTTCGTCATCATGTACGATGTGAAACGCACCTCGAGCCTCGGGGACATTCAGGTCATCTGTGAACTTCTTTTTAAGGGATTGTTTGGCTTGCCACAGCGTGCTTGTCATTGGACTTACGGACCTCTTCTGCCCCCCTCCCCCTCCAGATTGTCAACGGATACTTTGTGCACTTCTTTGCCCCGCCCGGCCTGTCAAGAGTCCCAACAAATGTCGTTTTTGTGATTGATCGGAGCGGCTCAATGTCTGGAAATAAAATGCACCAGGTAAGGGATTGTCGGAACATTTGTGTCACTTTGCATGAGCTGTCTCAGTCAAATACTGGCACACGTACGTAAAAAAAAGGAATAAAAAAGAGGACGATTCGAATGGAAACAAGAAACACATTGTCAGGATTGTGTGGAACATTTTGAGGAATGGACCACGCCAATTGCGACCAAGCTATTTGTATTGCATTGTTGTTTTTGTTGCTATTATTATGTTAGCATTGCTGAAAAATATCAATGATGATCAGATTATACTGCGGCAGGCGGAATCAAACGGCACACGCAAAAGTTGGATGAAATATTGGACCGCTGGATGGGCTTACAATCTGGACCCCCGGTGAGCGAGCCAGCCAGCCCCCGGTGTTCTCTTCCCCCGCAGGCATGCTACTGAGACGTGTCTTTAAAATGCGCTCCCCGGTCTACATCCCAACAGGTTGTAGTCCCGCTTCCATTCTTTTGAAAAAGAGAACACCACGCGGGAGATGGATTCGAGTGAGAACGACCGCAGACAGCGCAGGGAACAGAAAAAAAAACAAAAACAAACAAACAAACATGGATTGAGGGGGTTTTGCTTTCTGCATGCGATGCGCAAATGTTTTCTTTCCAGACCCGGGAGGCAATGGTAGCCATCCTTCAAGATCTGAAAGAGGACGACTATTTTGCCATCGTCCCGTTTGATGACGAAATCATTTGGTGGAAGGAAACGCTGACCAAAGCGACAAAGGAGAATGTGACTGAGGCCACGGAATACGTCAAGGGGTTGTACGCCTCAGGGGGTACGGAACGGAAGAGCCACGATTGATGATGGACCCGCAAAGGCTTCCCTGATCGTCTGTTGTCTTTCCAGGCACCAACATCAATGGTGCATTGTTAAAAGGTGTCAACATGCTGCTGACGGACAGAGCAGAGAAGAGGATCCCGGAGAGAAGCATCAATATGATCCTTTTACTCACTGACGGCATGCCCAATCACGGTGAGTGCGCGCGGCTTTTCGTCTCCCGATGGGCGGACTCTCCCGACGTCGTTTCCAGCTTCGATAAAATCTGGGCGCGCTTCTGTTTTCCGCAGGTGAGACCGATCCGAAAAGGATCCAGGAGAATATGGCCTCTGCCAATGCTGGCAACATGACACTTTTCTCTCTTGGATTTGGAAATGATGTGGACTACAGCTTCTTGAATGTGCTGAGTCAAAAAAACAAGGGATTGGCTCGCAGAATCTTTGAGGGCTCAGATGCAACTCTTCAGCTGAAGGTGGCCACCATACCGTATAATGCCACTCTCTCCATCCATCCATCCATACGCGCGCACGCATGCAGACAAAAGATCCGTGTCAGTCTCATCTGGGGTCAAAAGACAAGGAACAAAGAGGGGTCTTCAAACGACTTAGAAAAACGCACAGCGAGGGGGCTTGCCTCGCATTTAACGGAAGGTTATTCCAGAGGGAAGGAGCGGCGACGGAGAAGGCTCCACCCCTCTGAGGCCCCGCGTAGTTCTCACAACTTCTAATAGCGGTCCGCAGACCTGAGGCACCGGGCGGGGGCGTCAGGGGCGGAGGAGCTCAGGGAGCTAAGCTGGGGCCAGGCCATTGCAAGATTTGAAAAAAAAATGGAGCTTTCTTAAAACGGACTCGAAAATCGGAGGAGTGGGAGCCGGCAAAGGGAAGCCAGAATCAGGGCGATGTGCTCCCTCTTGGGCCAATGGCCGCAGACGCCATAACTTGCGTTTGGTTTCGTGGACAATTCAGAAAATCTGTGACATACACGCTTTGATTTCCCAAAGTGGTCTTTAGGAGAACCCATCCCTTTTTTCCTCAGCGGGACAGAGACCCGACTGTCATCCGCGCAGTAGAGAAAGCAAGTATTATGTTTTCCTAAGATGGAGTCTGGGGCCGGAAAATTCAGTGAAACCAATGGGGGTCTGAAATAGAACCCTGTGGAACACCATAGGGCAGGCAGCATGGCAGAGAGGGAATCGGAGCAACGAGGCTAACACGAAAAGCGGCATCTCGAGGGCTCTCGTAACTACAAGCATGAACAGACACATGTTAACATCTGATTTGGTTGTGTTGAAATAATAATAGCGTGTAATCATAGACATCGGCTGCCCCCCGGGGCGGACAAATAAGCACGTGGATGAATTCGTTGCAGGGTTTCTACGAAGAGGTGTCCAGCCCGCTGCTTTCCGAAGTGGATTTACGTTACCCCGACAACGCAGTGGACTTACTGACCTCCAACCACTTCAGCCAGTTGTTTAACGGCTCAGAGATTGTGGTGGCCGGTCGGCTGGCGGACAATAACTTGGACAACTTCCTGGTGGAAGTGGTCGGCCAGGGGGTGAGACCTCGCCTAACTTTTTTTGAATGCCGTAGCCGTACGCACCCTCGCAGGCTGACGAAGGGAACTGGCTCGGGTTCGCCGCCCCATATTACGTATTTCACTGTGGTCCGCGGCAGTTAGCGCTTCCTCTAATTGTTTTCCCTCCCTCCAGTTTGAGGACAACTTCCAGGTGCAGGGCAAGAGCGCCGCTCTGGATTGGGCCACGACTTACCCAGATGAAAAGTACATTTTTGGGGATTTCACAGAGCGTCTGTGGGCTTACCTGACCATCCAGCAGCTACTGGAGAAGCGGTCAGTCAATTCGCTCTTCTGCTTTCTTTTGGCCAAATTGGCAAAGTCGACTTCCAGACAGGCTTTGATTTCCTCCAGAGAGGACAAAAGTGCTCTGACGAGAAAGTGCCCTTTCTTTTGGGGGACCTGACCTGACTGCAGCGACACATACGGTGTCGCTGCAGTCAGGTCAGGTCCCCCAAAAGGGCACGCGTAGTCTCCGCTGTCATTAGCGAGGAGGATGTCGTGAAAAACTCCCGACGGCATCTTGGAACCTGGCAGGAAAGCCCCCTCCACATGTTCTTTCTTCCAGCAAGAGCGGTAGCTCGGATGAGAAAGTCAATGCCACGGCCAAGGCCTTGGACATGTCCCTGCGCTACAGTTTTGTCACCCCTCTCACCTCCATGGTGGTCACCAAGCCTGAGACCGAGAAGGGACCAGACAGCCCCCTCATCGCTGACAAACTGACTGAGGGTAAGACGCGGAGGCTTCGTTATTTCGTGATGTCTTTTTCCCAACAAATCTCTTGAGCTCATTGAAAGAGGTTTCGATCGTTAGATCCACTGAAAGCGCCGCTCAAGGTTTCCCCAATTGATTTGCTCTCCTCTTTTGTCTCCCACAGAGGAAAGACAACAAGCAGAACGAAACTGTAAGACCTTTGTTTTTCTTTTCTCCCTTCCCAAATTGCATACTTCAATGCTGCGTGTTTGTGAAGAAAATGAAAATGGATGCATGTAACCGGTGTACCGTTTTTGTTTCCTGGGCTGTACCTTAGCACGTTATCATCATCGTCAAACGTTCCCTTCCTATAATGCCCCCATTCCATCCTCTAATGTCCCCGTTCCATCCTATAATGCCCCCGCTCCACCCTCATATTTTGGTAAGTACTCTCCATTTTTGTCAAAGGGGTTCCCATTTGATCAATGGCATGAGTTTTTGGGGTTGGTTTTGCAGTGGACGGAGATCCCCATTTCATGATCGAGCTCCCAAACAAAGACGACGCCCTCTGCTTCAACATCAATGACAAGCCGGGAACTATTTTCACTCTGGTGAAAGACACCAAGTCAGGTCAGAGCAAGCGCGGGTGAACATCCCGGGTGGACAAATCCGGTTCCCGATGCAGATGAAGTCTGTCCCACACTACGTGACCGTCGTGACCCTGAACTTTGTCCCGATGCCCGCGGCCCCACGCCAACGGGCCCTTGTCTCCGCTTTCCTCAGGGATTTTGGTGAACGGCCAGATCATAGGAGACAAGCAAATCCCCGCCGACGGGAAAATCTACACCTACTTTTGGCGCTTTGGCATCATTCACCGAAATTTAGGGGTGAAAATGGAGGTCAGCACCAACGGCATCTCGGTCTTCCAAGACGACTCTCGGCTCAAGTTGCGGTGGTCCAACACAACTTCCATCAAAGGAGACGGGTGAGTGCTTGTGCGCCCGAGTGCAAAGTGCCTCGGGCGTCCTCATCTCAATCGCGCAAGCGCAGCAACGAAAGCTTTGCCGTCTCGTTCCATTTTGTTTTTTTCCCCACACGCAACCGATATCCTCTTTGTGCCTTTCCTTCCATTGATACCCTTTTTTCCCCACTGGGTGGATGACCTGCTTTTGGCCTGTACCACACATTGCTCCGCTACCAGCGTGTGTGCGTGTGACACGTGCTGACATGAATGACAAAACACACACGCGCACACGTCTGTCACCATGCCCCTTCTCTCGACTGTAGCCGTCTCTCCTTGTCTCCCTAGGATGGACATTCTCTTGACCAAAGACCGCAGCCTGACAGTCACCCTCAAAGATTCTGTCAAGTTTGTGATCCTGCTGCACAAAGTGTGGAAGAAGCACCCGTACCACCGGGATTATTTGGGCTTCTACACGCTGGACACCCACCTGCTGTCGCCTTCTGTGCACGGTCTGCTAGGTAGAGCACCGCGCGCGCTCATCGAGTCCACCGCCCCCATCGAGAGGTGGAGCCATTCGATGGAAATGACGTGATCGTCACGGTGTCCGTTCTGCCGCCGTGACGATCCACCTTGGTTTCCATTCGGACGAAGGCGGGCGCTTTTTGCTCTGCTCCCGCTCCCCCTTTTGCTCACCGCACGCTCCGCTGCACTCTGCCACCGCGATGACAAAATGAGCCCATTTCTTTTCCTCTGCAACAAATTGGGCAATAGCGAGAGTTACGGGCCCCCACGATTGGACTTTTTTCACGGTTGGCTTTTGTTCCCAACCAAAATCCCATTTGAAATGTGCCGTCGTTGGCCAGGGCAGTTCGTCGGAACTTACTGTGCGTGCAGTTTATCCGTTCCGCTCCGTGCACTCGGGTGTCTTCCGCTCAGGCTTCCTCCCGTGCACGTTGCCAAAGCGTGCACGTCAAGTGTCCGGCAGTGTGAGGTGCCCTGCGACTCACCTGTCATCCAATTGGGGACAAGCACTGGAAAGATGAATGGATTTGGCCTTGGATTTAGACAGATGGAGGGGGGTAGGGGGGGTAGGAACAGTTCCTCGCCTAAGCTATACCCCAAAAGTGACAGGAAGAAGCACCGAAAGCTTGCGACGAGACAGTCCTCCAAATGATTGGCGGTTGCCTTTCCAGGTCAATTCTACCACGGGATTGAGTACACGGTCTCCAACTTGCGTCCGGGAGAAGTCCCGGAGAAACCCGACGCCACCATGCACGTGAAGGGACGAGAGCTGAACGTGACCAGGTCAGACCCGGCCGGGCGTCGGAAAACGAGCGCTGCCCTTTTCGGCCTTTGTTCAGTGCGGCATTTTCCCGCTCCTCGCAGGGGCTGGCAAAGAGACTTCCGAAGCGACGTGAAGAACGGCGAGAACGTGCCCTGCTGGTTCATCCATCGGAACGGGACAGGCCTCATTGACGGGGAGGCCTCAGACTACATCGTTTCCGGCCTCTTTAAAACTGCTTAGACACCAAACCTTCTCATTCTGTTTGTGATAAGAGGGGCCTCTGATCAAATAAAATTTGCAATGGTTTGGGCTTGATTTATTTTTCACGATATGATCCGAGCAAGCAATCCAACAAAATGAAGCCGTTGTCACTCACTCGCACAGAGGATGAAACGCCGGACCAACCAAAATTCTTCAAATCCGGGATACTTGTCAACTGCGCAACCATTCTCAATCTAGGACGCAGGCACAGTAAGCGACACGCTCGTGCGGCCGCACTCCATAAAACAGTAAGTTGTGCAAAAAGTACTGAAACATGCAGCACTCGGACATGCTCAGTGTGATAGAAATGCCCAAAATGTTCCCCTCTGCCCCCCGGTTTGTTATTAGAGAATCCTAAATTGTTGCACTCTATTTTGAAGCCTCCGCATTTACGAGCTGCGGCTGGTGTCCTTCCAGGAGTTGGGCCGGGCTCATTTTCTCCAATTGCCCAATTCATCTTTAGCCTCCGGGAGACTGGAAGTTGTTTATTTTCCCTTATAACAAAGCGAGCACTTGAAGCGAACTCAAACCTCAGGGGTGGTCAGAAAATCACTCGGACGCCAGTCCTGTACGCGAATCAGAGGGGGTGGGGGGTGTCGAAGGGGTTCGAGCGCACTCGGTGTCCCTCATCGGGAGCGCCGAGTGCACGTCGCCGTTTTTGGTGCAGTCTGAAAAGAGCCGAACGACAAATCTGGTCAAAGCTCCAAGTTCCCGAACAGTCCAAGTGAATCAGTGCGTGCGCGGGAATTATTTCCGAACGCGCCCCTCAATCCGCAATTTAGTGACCCCGCCCCTCCCCGCCCTCACAAACAAACGCACGCGAAGTGGGACGCAGCTGCGGCACAAACACAGAAACGCCAATTGTTTTGGAATGGACTGCCTATTTGTGAAGTTCAAAACCCGAAGTCAGTCCATAAATTGCTGGGGCCTGGCTGAAGGGGGGCGAGACAGATCTCTGACGGTTGTCGTCTGCCCTACACCCCCCCCCCCCCGCCCCGGTGTAGCGCTGTGCATGGTGTCGGCTGCTTCTTTCATCAATCACATTTGAAATGCGCCTCACCGGGTCAGCGTCCTGGACCACAATAAAGTCAACATGAGTTGAAAAAGCGAGCAAGCCAAGTTCAACAAGAGCAGAGCATGTCTGGGGCAAAGGTGCACAATTATCAGCATCTCTGGTGAGTCTGATGCCTTTTATTCTTTACTCTCCAAGTTTGTGACACGTTATCAGTATCGACTCTGAAATACTCCAGGTGACGTATGTGGGACGGTTTCGTGCGGCTATCTGCAGTTTGTTTGTTTTTATCGTACTGTAATGACGGTTTCGAAAATGGCGACATTTTGTGTCACGTCTGTCACGTGTGTCTGTCTAAAAAAAAAACTTCGAAAATTGCAACCTCGAAAACCATTGCTTCTTCTCACTGGGCCGAAGCCTCGATTCTTGCGCGTGCTATCTGCTCAAATTCCAAGTTTTCTTTGAGGCAAATATTTCCAGAAAGTTTGGCCTCAACTTCAAATGACCTCCAAAAACGGAGGCCATTCAGGTTTGGCGGTGGGCGCCACGGTGGACTTTCAGTTAGAGACAGTGAACGAGAGAAGTGGCACGCAAACAAACTTGCTGTCAAACGGAGACGCCGCGGTGGCCCTTCAGGCTCCGAAAGTCGAGAAGAAACTCAACGGCTCCTTTGGGATGAAATTGGAGTTTCAATCTTGCAGTCCAGATCCCCAATTTTACTTGACTTGATTTGATATCCGACAGCAGGGTGGACTAACGATTAGAATGTCCGAGCGCTCCGGCCTACCTGCAGCCTGAGTGACAACGAGTCGTCGACGGGTGGACTTGATAAATACTGCTCTGTTCTTTTTCTGGGAGATAGGAGGCTAGCGCCTAACACGCTGTGGTCGTCAACTGCGTGCTAGCTCAACTTTTGGATTGTTTCTAATGGAGCGAGTATCTTCTCTCCCACTGCACGCGTGTGCAACCACCAGTGCTGTATCGACCTTGCAGCTCTGATGACTTTGCTGTGGTGTGACGAGATCCAGAGCAAGTGTGCTGACCCTAGTCAAGTTATAAGTTCAGGAGTTGAGAGGGATTTTCTGAAGGGGATCTTTGCACAGTGTTTGCCTGTCTCTCTGTGTGTGTGTGTGTGTGTGTGTGTGTGTGTGTGTGTGTGTGTGTGTGTGTGTGTGTGTTAGTGATTAACGCCAGATGTGCATGGCTCAGGGTGTCGGCAATACTTTGAGAGGGCCCCACTGTATTTGCTGAAAATGCTCGAGCGACTTCTTCACACATGGCTGACATTAACATCTCCGCTGTTCATCCCCCTGATCCCCCCTAAGGTTAGAAACATTAGGTCAGCCGGGGTTGGAGGAAGCTTTGGAAAAAAAAAAAGGAAAAAAAAGTGGTCCGGGCCGAAGGAAGGTGAGGAGACGTTAAAACGAACGTCTCCTGTCTTTCCAGCAGAGGGCGGCAGAGAGCCGCGTAAGGTCTGTCCCTTGCGTCGGAGGTCACAACCGTCAACCGCATATCAACTTCATTCGTTTGGCACGCCGAATGAACACGATCACGCAATCATTGCATTGTTTTGTTGCGCTCGAGCCATTACGTGAATTGTGGGGAGAATTTCAACCATACCTATTAAAATTCTTGGAGAAAATCAATGAATTTTGAGACAAGTTAACTGGAAGCCAACTGGCATCCTTTCCATTATAGCGTTTAGAGCCACATCGATTTTCGTTTTTGGTTTGTTTGGGTTTTTTTTTTTTTTTTTTTAAGTGCCGATGGCAATTAGTAGTGGTCGAGGTGGCTGGAAAGCGATATTTGCAGCCGGTATTCATTTGCAGCTTGTTGAAAATGCCTTTCAACATTTTTTATTCAACTGTTTTTTTTCCCAAGTTTTTTTTTATTTTTTTATTTTGGGCTTCGACAATAGACATTTTTGTTTTAAAATTGAAAAATATGAAAACATTCACACAGAAATCCCGATGGTTCCCGAAAAATTTCTGCAGTAAATACGGATGTCCGAAATGTCGGTAGAACTGAAATGGAAACGTTTTAACTTCACTTTGTTTTCATTGTCACCAAAACAAAACGCTGAGAGTCCCGGGCTCAGCAGAAAGTCAACTGGAGATTGAAAGGAAACAATATTTCCCCGAGGTTTACCCAATTCCAAGATGATCTTGTATCAGCTGGCGCCCCCCCCCCTCCCTCTCGCTGCCCATTTGCGTTAATTGAAATGTCAAATGTCGGCCCATCCGATAATCTGTCCATTCCTAATCCCATTCGTCCAGTATATTATTCGGTTTGTAATTATTTTTCTTTGACACCATGTTCAGTGTTAATATGAAATGGAATGATTCACCGCCTCGAATAACGTTCATGAATAGTAGATGTGTCCTGATTCGATTGATCCGTTAGCCCCCCCAGGTGAAATGACAGAGCGGCGTGTGAATTTCGGCGGCTGGAGCAACAGCCAAACGTGTCGTGTTCGCAAACTGCCGTTCAGAGCCGCGTTTGCCTTCATCGGGATGAGCGACGCGGAAAGAGAAGCGCTCAAAGTTTCCCGGCCGATTGCTGCTGCTACCGCGTGACACAGAGCGCCGAGTGGGCCGTCGTGTGCGTGCGGCGCGGCCTCCGACGCCAGCTGGCCGGCGGCCTGGCTGCGCGTTGACGCCCGAGTGCCGGCACGCACCTGCCCCCGCGCACCTCGGAAAATTGAACAGCAAGTTGTTGCTCGGTGTGATCATCCACCCGTGCGTCCGTCCATGAGCCGAAGCGCTTCTCCACAGGAGGGTCGCGGGCGTGCCGCCATCTTTCCCGGCCGTCTTTCCCGGCCGTCTTCGGTCAGTAGGCGTGGGGCACCCTGAACCGGATGCCAGCCCATCGCAGGGCGCATCACCGTTTGCGCTCAAAAACGGTCGTTTTCAAAAATAGAACGTCATTGAGGCAGATGGCCGATTTGCCTGGACGCAAAGGCACTCTCGAGTGTGTTGAAAGCGGCGCGTCCTCCCGAACAAAGCGGCGGGCCAGACAATATTGCAGCGGGCCGCAGCATAATCCCGGGTATTTCGCGTCTTCTCCGGTGCGGCCGAGGTGAAAAGTTGAACCCGGTGTTGACCCTCTCTTGAGAGAGGGCTTAGCTCTGAAGTCAGGCGCGGGCCAAAGGCACATGCGGGATATTCTCAAGTTCCTCTTCCCCTCTCTGGAGCGCCCCCCCCCCCCGCCGCCTGGCCTTCCTTTCCCTTCCCACACGGAAACAATTAGCGTCTGTGATAAGACGCCGTCCGTATTTCCACCAGCGCATCGCTTGCACTCTGTTTGTTTGCTTGTCGCTCGCTTTGTTTGTTTTTCCGGCTCAATGAGCATCTCATGTCCTCGTGCCGCGCCGCCGCTCGTCAACTTGTCATTTCAGGCTCCCGAGCAAAAGAAGCCGTTCCTTCAACCAGACGAGCAGGGGAGGACGACGACAACGACGTCATCTAAGACTAGACGCAAGCAGTCAGGCAAAGCACGGACACGCTGGTGACGGACGGGAGCGTTGCGCATGAGCCGAAACTTTTCCAAACGGAGAGCTCCCGATGGCGTACTGATGAATGCCAGGCCAGGGGCTGCCGGCGCGCTACGGGTGCCTTTCCATCCATTTAGGGCACCGATCGAGGTTTGTGATTTCTCACACGATTCGGAAACGGACAAGGCCAACGTGCGACGCTCTCCCAGCGTTGCCGTCTCCCCGCGCTTTCTTCGGAGACATTCCGCCAAATCACAATGTTCCGTCCCTTGTGAGCTATTTTTAGAACGGGCCCGGGGGGCTGCTGACCCGGACTTTGGGGAGCCACCCGGTGCTCACGGGGCCCCCCCCTGCTGTGGATTATTTGGCGGCATCTTGGGTTTGCATGTTACCCGTTCCTATTTGAACATTGGTTTCCTTTTTGGGTTTTTCGTTTCAGCTGCAAGCAAGTTTTTGCAAAGTGAGTGCAATTTTTTTTTTGTTTTGGGAATACTGCTGAGTGGCTTGTTATGTGACTCTTGGGCATGTGCATGTCGAATATTTGAATGTGCCCCCCCCCCACCTCCACCCCCACAAAAAAAAAAAACACTCGGCGAAAGATATTTTGCC